CTCCCACTCCCCCTGCTTGTGTTCCCTCTCTCGCTGTGTCTCTCTCTGTCAAATAAATAAAATCTTTAAAAAAAAAAAAAGTAGAGGAAAGAGAGCTGTCAACACAAAACGGAATACCTGCATTTAGGGTAAACAAAGAACCACAGGAAGTGAGGGAAGAAAAGTATTACAGAACTACAATTGTATTTTTTTTTAAAAAAGGATATGAATAAATACCACCACTACCACCATACACACACACAAAAAAGACCAACAGACACAAAAAATTAAACACTTGACATTAGGTATGCTTGCTTCTAAATAATCCTCATCTTAAAAAGAAAATTAGTACTGCTGGGGCGCCTGGGTGGCTCAGGAGGTTAAGAGTCCAACTCACGATTTCAGCTCAGGTCATGATGTCATGGGTCGTGGGACTGAGCCCTGTGTGGGCTCTCAAATAAATAAATAAAATCTTTATAAAAATAAATAAATAAATAAATTCACCTTCATCTTTGCACTGTCACTTCCTCCTGGAAGCCTTTCACGGTACCCTAGGTTGAGGTGATTCTTCCTTGCCCTGATCATTTTATCGGGGCCACTCTTATAATTATTTTTACTGTAACACAGTAGCCCCCCCATCCGTGGTTTTAGTTACCCGTGGTCAACCACAATCCCCTCCGGAAGTAGATGATCTTCCTTCTGACTTATCATCAGGTCAATAGTAGCCTAATACTTCATCACAATGCCCATGTCATTCATCTCATTTTATTTCATCACATAGGCATTTTCTCAACAACATCACAAGAAGGGTGAGTACAGTGAGAGATTTTGACAGCAAGAGACCACAATCAGATAGCTTTTATTATGGTATATTATAATCACTGCTTTATTATTAGCCTCTTACGTGTCTAATTTACAAATTAAGCTTTACCGCAGTTATGTATAGGAAAAAACATAATATAGAGTTCAGTACTATCCATGGTTTCGGACATCCACTGGGGATTCTCAGCCATATTCCCTACAAATAAGGGGGGTGGGGATATGTACCATACTATATACACAAGAAGTCAAGGCTGGGAGGGTGTATTATCTAAACTTGCACACCATGATATGTGGTACCTACCAGACCCTAAATAAATGGAAGGTAAACTAAGTACTATTTTATCTTCTTAGAGGTAAGCTTCTCAGGTGTAAGACCTACCCTACGTGTGATTAATCTCTCACTATGCACAATTCCCTTATATAAAAACCATCCCACCTTCAGGTGTTAGTTCTAAACATCCTAAGTATCTCTGTAAAACTGCTCTTAGCACATGTAACTGTACCTATTAGTTTACATCAGTCTCTTCAAACTATACATGGGCTCCTTGAAGGCAAGTACCATGTCACATAAATCTTCGTACTAACCAGCTACCACCTCTAGATTCCAATGTTTTGCTGAAAAAACTGAACTCATCATAGTATTTTTTGGAAAGCTGACACATTTTACATTATTTGGTCAACTGTAGTTACAACAGGCTATTCAATTCGTTATCAGGAAAAGAAAACAAGTTTTCTCTTATCAGGTACACTGCAAAACTATTTTTACATTTTGTCTTATTTTTTGGCCTAGGAAAAAAACTTCACCAATAGGTTTTGATCACGTGCTCTCTTTGGGTGACTGGAGGAAAACAGGGAAAATCAACGTGAGAAATCTACACTGAGGAGACCGTAACAAGATAACGTTCAAAAGATTCACATCACCTGGTTACATCTGGAAGCCACTGTGCAGTTAGGCTAGGCCACTCCAGAGCATGGGTCATCACCAAATCGTAAAGAAAAGGGGTATTCTTTTTCCATATTTTGTACTCTTCGTTGATCACACGTTCTTCTACTGCGTCATCAAAGGCTGCTAAAAAGTTAAAAACAAATTAAGTTAGCGAACACAAATGGAAAACGAGTCAACACTTCCTAAGCTACCGGCCCTGCTCGAGTCCAGATTCTGAAATGGAGGAGATATGTGTAAATCTACCCCCGCGGAGGTACCAACACCCCTCTCCACCCGCGCGGGCCCGCAATTACTCTCGGGCTAGCCAGGCCCGTCACTCCGTTAGCCGTTCGGGCGACGGCGCCGGGCCTCACGAGCACGCTCCCGTTCGCGCTGAGTCTACAGAACCGGCGCGGAGGCCCGCACACCGGCCCCTGGGGTGGGGAACGGCGTAGGCAGAACCGGGAGAGGCGGGCGGACCGACAGGGAGCGCGGGGAGAGACCAAATAGCGGCCGGGGCGCCCCCACCAGCTCCACGCCGCGGCGACAGGCCTCCGCGCCGGAGGAACTGGCGCGCCGTTAGCCCGCCCCGCGGGGCGATTTCTCCTCACGCCTTCGATGGTGGGGACAGCACTCAAGAGTCGGGCTTGTCTTCACTGCTAGGCCCTGTCGAGGCCGCGGCGCCAGCCCGGCACCCCCCGCTCTCCTCGGGCGGCCCCAGCACCCTCACCTTCCTTGTCGGCCATGGCGGGCAAGCAAGCCGGGGGGATCCCGGGGTCGAGCGTTGCGGGAGGGGCGGGGAGGCTACGGGCGCTCGCTCTGCGCGCGCGGCCTCTATTGTTTCCTGCTGCCCCTGCGTGAGGTCCGACTCGAGCACCTTCGCGCCAACACTGGCCAATCGGAGCGCCCCAAATGGTAGGGTGGGCGGGGAAGCCGCGTTCGCAGCCTATCCAGACACGCAGAGTCGCTTTCTGCGGGTCCGAGGCACGCGCCCCTCCCCTGCCCCCACACGGCCCGGAGCCGACTTCCTTCGATTGCGCGCGCGCGGAGCCGGTGGGAGTGCGACCGCCGGGTCACGTGAGAGGTTTAGTCCGCACTCTCCAGGGGGCAGCCATTTTCTTAAAGGCCGTTCAGCTGCCGACACTGTCAAAATACTCAGATGAGAAATATAGGATGCTTTCGGGTCTAGTTAACAACTCTGGGAGTGAGGCGGAAAGAAAAGGCTTCCAACCACTCAGACATAGGGGTGTCTAGTTCAAGTGTCTCCCTACTCCTAGGTCCTCCAATTTCTTTTTTCTTATTTCTTAGAACGGATGAAGTAAACGCAGAAAATAGGGTCTAAGCCTATTAAAGATGTGCTCCCAGCGGCAGGCCCTAGGACAGAAATCTTAGGGTATAAAGTACATCGGCGAGAATGGAGTCCTGGTTCTTTAAGGGGGCGTGCCAATGGGGGCGGAGTCTAGAGCGGAAGTTGTAAATCAGATCCGAAGTCCGGCTAATGAAGGGCGGAAGTAGAGTGTCTAGTGCTGCAATCATGGCGCAGGAAGAGGAAGATATTCGAGATTACAATTTGACTGAAGAGCAGAAGGCGAGAAAGGCCAAGTATCCTCCAGTCATTCGGAAGTACGAGTGTGAGTAGGTGGCTCACTTCTCTCATGCTCTCTCTCCTTTCCCAGGTCTTCCGGCCTAGCTTTCCGCTTTACCCCGTAAGGTGCTTCAGGCTTGATTCCGTTTCGCCCTGTATTGTAGGTCCCTGTCTGGGGGATGCTAAAGGAAAAAGCCACCTGGTCTGAGAGTCGGGAAACTGGGCTGCCACATTTACAGTCTCTTGAACTCTTTCTACATTTACCTAGTCACATTACCTTGTGGGAATTTTACCGGTGTATTCATTCTAAAGATAACCATATTTTCAAGCGTTTGCCGGGTTGTCGCCCGTATGTATCTCCAACAGTGGGGTGGTTAGAGTGTGGTTACGTTAGAGGACTTAGAAAGTTGAGTAGGGGGGCACCTGGATGGCTCAGATGGTTAAGC